TGGGCACACTGGAGCTGGAGGAAGAAAACTGAGATCAAGGTTAGGATGGGACACAAGCCCAACCTGCCCAGCACAGTGCTAGTGAACTGAAACTGCCCAGCCAGCACAGGTTTCCAGAGAGGAGAAATAAATTCCTAAACTAAACAATGCTTCCTGGTAACATATTTGATGGAAGTGCATGAAACAGAGAGATGTATTTCTTCCTTGCACTACCCACCACATTAAATGGCAGGGTGTTAGTTTTGGGGATTTAGGGGTTGTTTTTTTTCTGGACAAAGCCCAAAAACTGCATGACCTGTTTGTCCCTCCTGAAGACATCAGTTTATCAGAACAGTCTGCAAACTGAGAGATTACTTATATTTCTGCCTCTACGTATTTCTTCCAAGAGCACTTTCCTGAAAACCTCACAGTAGTTCCTGTCCCAGAAGCCAACTGGGAATGCTGAGCAAACCCCTGCACAGCTCTGCATTCCCTTCTCATCCCTCCCAGGAGTGCAGGCTCTGGGCTTTGCCTTAGGTCCCACTTTGTGGTCCCCAGCCCCACTGCTGCAGGTAGGGATGCTTCTACACGTGCCCTCTTGACTCTGCACCATTTGAAAAAAATGACTGGGATAAAACAGCTCTGCCAGCTCTAAGGGCTGAGAAAAGCTGGGCAGAGAAGAGCCAGCTCAAGCACAGCCCACAAAACCACAACTCCAGTCCTTCCTGATCCATAAGCTTTCTAGCTAATGGAGGAGGAGATGGGACCCCATGGACTGGCTTCACCACTGCTGGCCAGTAACACTGACACCCTTGGTTAGTCCACTGGAACTGTCTCTGGGAAAAGCCAAAAGCCAGAAAGCCATTAGCACATCACCAGATCCTCTACCAGGGATAATTCTCCATGGGGCTTACAACTATGTCAAACATAAATTGGGATAAAGGGAAAAATGTACATCCAAGCCCTTTGTACTTCTGCAACAATCCATCTTGTTTCTGTCAACTTAACATCTGCAAAAAGATGTAGCTCTGCTGGAGGAAAAATAGCTCCTAAGTGCTCCTGGTCCTGACAGATCCCGAGGCACACAGCAGAAGTTCACCACATCCTCCTGGCCAACAGCCAGGCTCACAGAATTGGATTTCATCTTACTCTCTTTCACCTCCTCCTTCAGCCACTTCAGAGGCTTTTCTTCAGCTCTCCTTCCTCGTATTTCACTTCCAAGGGCACACGACTACAATGGCCCTGGTTTTTTCTCCACACCCAACCTCAGAAAATGAATCATTCCTGACCCATCCAACCAGGCACCTTGCCTCTAACACAGGGCAGAAGGTGCAGACCTCTCTGCACTGACAGCTCCCCTAGGAGTGATGCTTTGCCCCATTTTTTCTGCCCTCAGGATACCATCCTGAGTCATGAGACACTTTTTTCCCCCATGTCTTTTTCCCCTTACAAAAGCTGTGGCTGAGGGTGACCATGAAGGCATCAAACCCTCCTGCTGCCAGCCATCAAGTGCTTCAAGCCACAAAAGCCTGGCAGCAGTGAGGTCCACAAGACAATTACTCTCATCTCCCTGCAACTAACTTCCCATCATCCACCTTTATTTTTTTCAACCCAGGATCTCTCCAAATGAGACACCCAAAACTCAGCAGCATCCCCAAGGCAGGGGCCCATTCCTGAACTACCAACTGGTGTTACAACTTCATCAGTGCTACTAAAGCCTCAATTTCCCATTCAATTTCTGCTTTCCCTCCATCCAGACTGACAATTCTCCAATGATTTTCGCTGAATTTAGCTCATTTTTAGTTAATTTGGCTAAGATTTTGCTAAAGTTAGCTAAGTAGCTAATTTTACAGAGCGTCTGCCATTAAATCTTCCCGTGCCTCAAAGCCCCTCTCTATAAAAAGAGACTCATTATCACTGATTTGTCTCTAAATGACGGAGACTTTAAATCACTGCCACACAACATCTGGTTTGTGGCCCACAGGGAGCTGCCAGGCTCTGTTCAGCTGGATAACAACCCACAGGTGGAGATGCCACTGACTCAGCTCCAAACCTCCTTCTACATCCCCAAAACTCAGGGAGACAGAGCACAGCCAGCTCAAAGACCTAGAAACTGCTGAAATCAGTAGAAGGCTTAAGCCTTGGGGGCTTTCAGCCTTTCACCAGCAGGAAAGTGCTTTAAAACTCAGAAAAAAAAAAAAAAAAAGAAAAGTAACCCAGCTAAGGCAGAAAGCAAATGAAGGGTTGAAACCTTAAGAGCTGCAGAGACATTCAAACAATAGTATCTCAAACCTTCCATGCAGCTGTAGCCAGCAGGACTATAAATTGGCCTCTGATTTAGCCCCATTTGGTGCCCTCTATCCAGCCCACACGGCAGATACCAGTTTCCATCCTTATCTCCACCATCCATTAGCTGCTGTCAGCAAGCGTGGGGGCAAGCTGGGGTGCCAGCACAGCTCTGCATGCACAGGAACCCCCTCTTCCTCCCCCAGCAGGTCCTCTTGCAGCACCTCCAGACACTGCTGTGCTGAGGGGCCTTGGCCATGGTAGATATTTCATCTCATAGCCCATCCATTGTTGAGTATGCTGTTTTCTTCCCAATTTTTCCTTCTGTTTCCCCCCTCTTTTTATTTTTTTTCCTCTTCTCCCCCTTGGTTCATTACATCCATCATTTATATCCACAGCACCAGCCAGCTGATTTACTGCCTCGATCAATGCAGCTCCAGCATGAAAAAGAGAGACACAGCAAGCTCAGCACGCAATGGGGACCCAGCTGTGGGAACCTGGAAGGACAAGAGGGAGGGACAGGGAACAAAATCATCCCACAAGCAAAAGCACCAGCAGCACAACTTGCTGTACTGAGAGGGAGTGCACAAAGTCTGCAAGGACAGGGCAGTGCCAGGGGAGATCCTGCCAGACACTCCTGGAACACTTTACGAGCAGAAGAGACTTGGGCAAGAAATATTTTTTTTGCCCCTAACCAGGCAGCAGAGAAACATACTCCATCAGGATCGACTTGGAGCACTTCTGCTAAGCACCTCGTTTGCTCTCCCTCTCCTAATGAACAGCGTGACAAGCTCAGAAATCAATGGAGGCCCTGAGCGCAGCTCCTGCCGGCGCCCAGCCAGGCGTCCCCGGGCCTGCTCTCCCTAACTCGAACCGACGGCAGCGATTGCCCGACAGCTCCGCTAATGGCCGCCCTGTCAGGGCTCCTCACACACACCCCACAGGGCAGGCCAGGCAAACACCGCATTTGTGGAGGTGCCAGCCTCCTCCACAGCAATACCTGAGCACAAAAGGGGAGATGCTGCAGTGCCACCGGGAGCCAGCCTTGGGCAAGTGCCCAGCACCTCAGGATGCTCGACTCGGTACTTCTTTCCCAAACAACCACTGAAGTTTCCAGGCCCCTGGCCCCATAAGGAAAATCCAAGTCTTCTTATGGCTGGATGGACACTGCACATTTTGGGCCAAGTAGGAAGTGTGGGGACACCTCCAAGACAAAACAGCTGTTGGAGATGCCCATGGCTGAGCAGGAGGGCACACAAGGAAGCATGAACACAGCCCTGGGGAACAGAGAGGAGTGCTGAAGAGATGAACAAGTAGTACAGGGTGCCAAGAATCTGCTTTTGGCTCTTTTCCCTCAAATACCTGGCATACTGAAGATGGTCGGAGGCAGCTGAAGCTGCACATGAGGGACACAGCTTTGTTGTCTTAAGTAGCGCAAGAGTTCTATTATCATTATAATGCAAGGATTCCATATTGCCAGAGTTCCATACCTCCTCGATGTTTCTCGTAGGCATCTCCTCTAAGCACTGACTGTTCTGGTCCTTGCAGGAGCCATCTGACTTCTCTGACTCCAGTTCCCACCAATCCACTCTTTTATATCACTGTTCTTATTGCCTACAGGTGTTGCCTGTTATCATCAGGCCTGCTCCTAATGTTTAGTAATTGGGTCCAGCTGCAACTCGTTGGGGGATAAGATCACATTCTACACTACCTTCATTTACCCATACTATGTCCCCCTACATGGCTTTGCTGAAGTAACAGCTGCATCCCAGTGCCAGACATGGAAACACGGGAGCTGTGGCAGTGGCTCAAGCATGATGGGGTACAAACACTCCCCAAATCCAACACCAAGTGGGAGCACTCCCCATCCAGAAGCGGTTAGGATGCAACACGGCTCTCTCACAAAAAACAGCCCCCTAGCTTCAGTTCCAAAAGCCTCCCCACACCACAATCATAGCACCTCCTGCTCTGCTGCACCCCAAGTACGTACCAGTGTATACACACAAATATGTATTACTCAGTTTGCTGCTTCTCCCACCTATGCCTGAAGAGAGGATGAGGAGAAGAAGCATGCAAAGCACTGCTGCATCAAGCATGGGCTGCCCTGAGCCCTCCAGCTCCTTCCCCTCACAGTTCCCATACCCTATTCTCTTAACCTCTCTGCAAGGGGCTCATTTCCCATCTTGTTTCACAGCTCCAAACTGTTCCGCTGTGCTTTGTTTGCTTAAAAAAATGTTGTTAAGAGACAGCAAAAAAATAAAAGAAGTGGACAAATAGGAGGGATTTAACTCTGCTTTTCCATCTCCTGGCTGGAGGGGCTTCACACAGTACTCACTGTGGCATTGGTGATTTAATCATCAATGCAACACTACTGCAAACAGCAGCAGACAGCAGAGCTGGCAGGAGTAATGCTCCCTCCAACAGCGTGAATATTAAGGGTGTTTAACAGCCCTTGTAATCACACTGTGGCTCCTTGCAAGAACACAGCCAGGCAGCACAAGGGAAGGCACTGAACCATGCTGCTGGGTTATCAAATTTCCCCGTGCTCCTCACGGGACTGAAATCAGCCCTGCTTACAGAAAAGCGAGTGCTGCCTTCCCTGAACATTCTCTCCAAACCAAATCCCGTTGTCTTATACATTACAACAGTTCTATTATCATTTATAGGTTGTCTTATACATCAAGAGTTCTTTTATCATCATAGTGCAAGGATTCCATATCCTCAGAGTTTCATACCTCCTCTGAGCACTGACTGTTCCTGGTCCTTGCAGCAGCCATCTGACTTCTCTCATTCCTTTACTTCTAGTTCCCATCAGTCCACTCTTTTATACCACTGTTCTTACTGGCTACAGGTGTGGCCTGTTAATATCAGGCCTGCTCCTAATCTCTAGTAATTGGTCCAGATGCAATTCATTGGGGGATGAGATTACATTCTACATTACCCATACTGTGTCCTCCTACAAAATCCCACATGGCAAAAGCAATTAAGCACACGCCGGGATGAACTGGGTGGCTTGAGAGCCTCCCTCAGTGAAAGCCAGCCTCTTGTGGAATTTGGGTCCTTGTAACATGGGGCAAACATTAGGAGCTTGAGCAAATTAATCTCCTGTACCTGTCTGATACACTGGGAAAGGACTACTGGGGGAGGAGAAGAAATCTTGAGCATGGCATGAGTTTAGCTGTGCCTCAGGACTTGAGATATATCACACTTTTTAGGCCAAGCATTATTTTCTTCTTAAAGAAGAAATGTCCTCAGCTTTTACACTCAGGAAGTTTTTACTCTTTCATTGGATTAATACAAATCTGAAAAGTTCCCTGTGATTTTGAGGCAAAAATAGCCAGTTATCAATGGCATCCTACTGTAATGAAACACCTGTGAAACACAGCCACTTCTGGCCTACAGACTTGAAACACAGCTTCTGGAAACAAGGGAAAAAAGTGCAAATTTATCTGCTTTATCTCTCAGATGCAGTAATGGCTGCTGGTTCTGCCTGAAGATGGGGAGAACATCCTGAGAGCCAAGCCTGCATTCAGAGAAATGCTGGGTTGCCCAAAGCCACACACATACAGCTGGTGCCAATGCACAAACCAAGATCAATACGAGGAGATCAGCGGCAAAAAATAGTTGATCCCAGTTGATATTTATACATAGAAGCTCAGGACTGTTTGGCTCTTTTGGCTGGACTAACATCTGCATTGCCAGGAGCTCCCTCTTCCAGGTTATCTCAGCACAGCCTGTGCACCAGAGGGAAGGGAATTAGCTACCTGGCCTTCCATTCACACCTTTAATTATTCAGCTTATATTGATATAAAATTAATTGAAGCAGAATAAGCTCTTCTCCTAAATACAGGTGCCCACACACAGGAATCACTGAGATTAAAAGGTGCAAATTACTTTATTTAATGAGTTAATTTCCAGCTATCACATGAGCAAATCCCTGTGCTGGGCCTGTACCTGCTGCTGCACCAGCTCTGCCCCAGTGGCACAGCTGTTGTCCCAGCACGATGCTCTGGGTAAACAGAACATGTGCAAAGGTTTGGTTACACAGCAGAGATGTGCTTCACTCTGTGAATGAAACTTCTCTTTCATTCACAGAGCCAGGATCTGGCCACAATGATGGCAGCAGGAGCTGTGGTCCCAAGTATGCAGAAAGGCACCAAGAGCAAGGAAATGCCACTTTCCAGAACGCCCCTTGTGCCTGTTGGGGAAAGCTGATTGTCCTCCATCTCACAGTAACTGGTTCCATAAAGCACCAACACCATTTCCTGCTGTTCCCCCCAGGAGAGCAGAGCTTCTGCCTGCAAAAGTCAAACTGAAACTGCCTTTCCTTTGCTGACTGCCTTCAGGAGGGAAGGTGTCCTCACCTTGCTGAAGAACAGCATCTGAACGACCTTCCCCAGCATTCAGATGCCAGCTGGAGCTCACTCTCACCTCTCAAGGCAGATTGTGTTTATATTTTATGTCTGATTTTTGCTTCCTGGTGCATCCAGGAGGTCCCTGCTGAAGAGGCACATCCATGCCCAGGTGCAGTAACAAACGCCACGTCACCAGGCAACGTAGCACTGCTCTCATCATTCAATTCCCTTTCTCACCACTTGCAAATCTAATTTCACTTTTCAGATATTTCACTTTCTCACCGTTTCTAATGCTCCTGTGACCAAACCCTTCACACACCACCTCTTCAAGGGGTCTGCACCCCAAAATCAGCTCCTGCCATGCCATGGCTGCCAGCACACTGCTGGGCTGAGGGCACAGCCCCAAGGACTGCACAGGGGTTGGATGATATTTTTTCTCTGAAGAGACTTAAAGCAGAGATCTTCCTGCAGGATGGGAGGGCAGGACAGGAGGTTCTCCTTCACAAAGTGTTTTGCTGTGCCACCGAGAGCAAACCATATGCAGCCTACACACCGTACACGGTTTAATCCAAGCACTATGTGTATATTCATCCATTTGGATCCCAGTGGCAGCAGCAGATGGCTGGGTAATGCATGTTTGAGTCTGCCTCTCTCCAAATTACACCGTATTGTGGCACCAGGAAAATGCAACGGGCATTATGGATGCCACGATTCCTGCCTGCTCCATTCCTGTGGAAGGCAGGACAATGCTACATGAGTCTCCTTTCTGCCTTGGCTCCCACACACCAGCTCCAGCAGTGTCTTCCCACTGTCCACCTCACTGGAAAAACCACATGCCTACCACCCCAGCCAGACCCTGAGTTTCGCATTTCATCTAGGCGAGGTCAAAGTGCAAAGGGCTGCGTGCCAAGCATCCCCCAAGGCAGATCCCAAAGGATATCAGAGGATAGGATTCCATCCTGAATGATCCTGAATCAACCCACTGGGTAAAGCAGATTACCTAGACCCAGATGAAAAAAACTTCATTTAAATAAAAATATATTCTTTTTAAATCACCACTTTGTAAGAAGAACTAAGCCAGCCGTTGAAAGCTCACACCTGTAACACCTCCCTCTTATTTTACTCCATCTCACCTAACAACAAGCAACTAAAAATTCAATGCACAAGCAAGAAAAGATGTGCAGGAACTCCATCCAGCCCGGGGGGGGCTGCAGCCAAGGCACTGCTGAACATATTCATGTCTTATTTGCGAGCCATGTGTCTCCATAATGGGTTATGAGGTGTGGTTGTAACTGGCGGGTGTCGACGGTGGTCCTTGAGGAGGAAATGGTGTGTGTCTAAATGCAGGCAAAGCTATTTGGAAAGGCAGGACAAAGCAGCCTTTCTCTCCTGGCATGGGCCAAATCACATCCTTTGGACTTGCTCCTTCAGTGGCTTCAAAAGAAAAGGAATCATCCGTCTCAATTTTCCTGGCTCTGTGAATAATGTTTGGAGAATAGAGGGTGATTTCATAGCTCATTTGTTTTTGCACCGCATGAACCCTGCTCTCCTCGTATCACTTTCCAATCAGGTTTATTGCTGATGTTTCCACAAGAAAACCAAAGAGGGAAAGGCTAAGACCCTCAGTCTCACTAGAGATTGAGGGGAAAAAACAAAAGTTAAAAAAAAAAGTAGGGAAAAAAAATAAAGAAGAATCTCTCTCTCCCTTGTCTTTCAGCCTGATCTGAAAATGAACCTGTTTTGCTTCTGAATCAATTCTCTCCTGGCACTGCATTTCCCGCAGTACTTTCCGAGATGAGATGCAATCATTAGCTCCCTTGCTCCTCCAAATAATATCACAAAGCTGGAGCTCGAGCTGCTGTGCAGTAAATCACCACTAATTTCTTCCTGTGTGTGGCACGGCAGGGTTTGGCCAGGGGACACAAGCCCTGCCACACCCTCCCAGTGCCACCACCCATCTGTGCACCTGCTGACTGGGGACAGTACAGCACCCAGCATGTCACCTTGTGGAGAAGTGACACTGGCACATTGTCCCTTATTCTAACACCTCTCCAGTGACCCACAAAGGATCACCACACCTCTCACTCCCTCAGGCTGCACGAAGGGTTAACCAAGGTGCTTAAGGGGTTGCCAAACAGTGGGACTGAGGCAAGCTACTAGTACAACTAATGCTACCTCCGTGAACAAAGGGGTGAACTCCTGCTGAACCTCTCACCACTGATCATTTTCACCAAAGGCACACGTTAAAGACAAGAAATTATCCTGCAACTCTTGTGCCACTGGCACCCAGAGCCCATCCCACATCAGGAGGCCTTTCAGGTACCCTACAGACTGATCCAGCCTGACCTAGAGCTGTCCTTCCCACCCCAGCAGCAGCTCTATGGGAAACCCTATACCTAGGCAGCCTCACTTTCCCAGCTCCTCTGGAAATATGTAGGAAGACTGGAGTAATACTGACTTAGATGAGCAGAAGATGGGGCGCAAGATCTCTTCCTTGGCTTACTCTTCCTGTAACACTGATTCCTGCTGAGATTCTGGAACCAAAAAGGGTAAAGAGGGTGGGAAATCAATTTAATTGCAGCTTAGTAAGCAACTGCACTAAGCGTCGCTGGCAAAATCCGAACATTTTGCTGAGAGAGAAAGGGGGAGAAATGGCTTTTTCATTGCATGGGAAAGTGGATTGAGAGCAAACTCCCCCCCATCATCTGCTCCTCACCCCTTCCTTCTTTAAACAGGAGGAAGCCAGCAAGAAACACAGAGCTAATGCCAGCAATCTCCCGCTCCTGCTCCTCCAATTAATAGTCAATCGCTGCACCCTTTGTCGTTAGGCTGCACGTAATTACTCCTTCACGCAAACGTCTTCCTTAAACAGACCCTACTCCTGTTTTCTCGCAGATACATTCCCCTTAATTGGTTTTATTGCACCAAATGCCGGCCTGCCCTCACAGATGAGACTCTCCCAGGCGGAGTACGCTGCTTTTGCGTCTCCACAACTTCTTCCAAGCTCGCTTTTCCCACTGGCAAAGAGATTACAGCATGGAGAAGCACAGCCAGAGGTACCAAAGTGGCATCTTTGTGAGATGTGCATACAGAACACACACATGCATGGACCCAAGAAAAACCCTGGGCACACAAAACCCCAATATTCAACTTCCCAGGGACAATAACGCTGCACCTGCATTCATGAGGGATCACAAGACAGTTTTATTTGCAAGGCTGAATCTCCTGGCAGCGCCCTTCCCATGCTGGAGCTCGCCCAGCTCGCACCTGAGGAGCCACAGCAGTTCAGCAGTGTGCCCTCCACACTCAGCCCTGGTCTCTACACATACAACCAACCTCTCAGCTTCAGGAGGCTCAAAAAATCTCCAGTCACAGCACCATAAAATGCTCCCTGGACCTGCCTTCCCCAGGCACAGCATTCCCATTTATAGCTCTCACCCTGCA